TTGTAAATTTACTAAATTATTAAATTCTCTAAACTTGTTATTGCTATTCGAACAGCATGTAACGCATAAATAATATTCCTTAGAAGTTCATTTATTACAGACTGATTTTGCAAAGGTGTGGTACTTCTTAGACGATTTATTATTTGAGCATTTTGACTTGACTTGACACCTTGTAAGTTTTTCTTGTCTCTCTGGTATGTGTTGCGGAAATGCTGCAGGAATGCTTGTTTTTATTATACTTTGCTCTCAATTTTTTTTAACATTTACAATAAAAGCTCCCTGAGTTAAATATTGCTGTTGTTAATATACAACACCCACGCATTTACACCCACAAAATTTTACAAATTATAAAATATATGAACTGGCCATCGGAATGCATGTTGTTGAGCATTAAGACATTTTTATTAGGTTAAGCTTTATAAAAATTGTTTATAAGACATATCACCTGTTTTTAGCACAAACGTAATTTATAATTTCTGTTCTCCATTTTAGTGAGTATTAATTATTCAAAACATTACGTCTATGATCCTTTTTAACCACTGCACATAGAATTTAATTATTATTGATTATTATTAATATGTTATAATGTAAAGTAAAGTAAAGTTGCAGCCTATTTACGTCCCACTGCTGGGCACAGACATCCTCTCATTTCTGAGAGGGTTTCAATGCGTGTTGGTGAATTTCACATGTCTTCGAAAATTTTTTTTCTTATTTCTCAGACATGCAGGTTTCCTCACGATGTTTTCCTTCACCGCCGAGCACGTGGTAAATCAGCACTTAAAATTGCAATTAACAATTTCATTGGTGCCGGCGGGGATCGAACCCGGGTTGCTCGAGTACTGTGAAACTTACGAGCGAGCGCTAACCATCTGAGCTACCACGGCTCTAATAATGTGCCGTCATAATATCACTAATTTGTTGTAAGCCAGTAACATTCATTGCTATGCGGATAAACTATAAAATTTACCGCTTTTGTATGTATAAAAGGTTGATAGGTAATTTATCAAGGATTATTTTGTATCTGTACATTTTTTATGTATCGTGTACGCTTTTTTTAAACTGGAAGAAACGGCGCTTCGGAACACTTTCCGGAGCACGGGGAGGGGGAGGGAAAGTGGATAATTGTATCTTAGCTCTAGATAAAAGTACTCCGTTTATTTTAATTAATAGAATCAGGCGTTACTTTGCGGAAACCCATTATATAAAAGCTTTAGAAAAATTTACTTCGCAAATATCCGCGTTATAAAATAAAATGATGTGTCTTACCTAGTATGAAGAGCACCTCCCGCCCTCCCTCAATTGCGTGCACTATCCCCGTCACCACTAATCCCAGCACCGCTACTCCCAACACCACTACACTAGGCAAGACACACCACTGATGACAATACGACACGTGTTTCGCCTCTACAGGAGGCATTCTCAGGTGATATAGACTCTACGGTGGCTAACCGCTATAGAACGGTTTTCCGTTTATTTTTCCAATTTTTTAGCTCAAATACAAATATTTATATTTCGCTGAGTGGCCGAATAAATAAATTTTTTAAAAGTACGTGAAATGAAAGAGTTTAGAAATAAATTATACCTCTATTTAAAAAACATATTCTATTATTTACTCTAGTCATCAAATCTTGGCGGTAAAATGTAAAAAAACTAAACTTTGCATAAAAAAAAATTGATAAATAATTAAAAAAAGTCAAACTTTGTGACAAATTGCGCGGAAAATATAGGTGATATCGATATTATAAACCTAATGTTTAAGTTTTAAAAATCTGTATCGTTGAAATGTTAGGTATCAAAGAGGGATTTCATAAAACTCAAGGAACTGTCCTAATAATAGAATGCATAAGGCCAAACATTCCTTATTGCATTGCGAAAAAGAAGATGTTACAAAAGGTGCATCTTTGCGGTTCGAGTTTTTGTTCGTGCATAAAGATTAGCAGTAGATACGATACAATTTAGTTTTGGTGGTAAGAGTTGTTAATTTCTGTTAGAAAAAGGTGCAATCCTATCATCAGTCATATAAAGAATCAAGGTTCCGAGTCATATTACGTTATATAAAAATAACACTTATTAAAGGCATTGGTGGTGAAATTTACTCGTATGTCTTTGCATGTAGCTTATATTATGTTACAAAGTAACGATGGAGCGTTATTCTATCACAAGTTCTACATATTGAAAATTATGCCATGTAAGGCGGATGGTACAATAGGACTTGACTTTCTTAGAACGTAACACGCAAAATAATGAAACATTTATTTCTTGAAAAATTCTTACTTAAGCTTTAGCAATAAACAACAAGCCTTTGTTAGCGCGGGTTGTTTCACCTCTATATGATACACGCGTATACGTTAAAAATGGCGTTAACTATCGTTAAACCAGAAAAAGAGTTGTTTCGTAAAATATTGGCCTTGACCTACGTTAAAAATAACAAAAACGATAACTGGTGCTTTAACCTCTGGTTCATTTTATTTTATTTAATGCAATGATAAAACTTTGTATATGTAACGAACATTAAAAATCTATCTTAATCGTATTTATTTTACAAATGTTATGTTACCTTATTAAAAGCGTTCGAAGAACCGTGCCGCGTGCAAGGAGTGTATGTACGCAACTGCCCGTCGAAGGAATGATCTCCGATAATGTACTTGTAGGTGCAGCGGTTGTTCGAGAGCGCTTCTTACTTAATTGATTTCGGTACACAAGAATCAAACAATATACATAATATATAAATAGCATTAGAGAACAAATAGTCACATAATAAATACATATTTTATAATGCGTCGCTTACAATTTCTGCCTCCTTAGTGCTAACTAGTTAGCACTACAATTCCGTGGTGATAACAGAGCGACGCGCGTTACCGGTCTACGCAGCATACCCGTACGTGTGCGAACATCTACTATACGAACGCGTCCGTCACTGGTTGCGTGGGTCGCACTCACTACCCCGTGTCGCCAGCAATTGCGATCAGCATTCGTTTCGACAATAATGACATAATCAGCTACCTGTAGGGACTTCGATTCTTGTGTCCAATTTTGACGAGGGAGCAGAGTTGGCAAATATTCTTTTAGCCAGCGAGACCAAAACATGTCTGCTAGCCTTTGTGCCACGCGCCAGCGCTTTTTTAAGCAAAGATCAAAATCGCCAAACTTACCAAATTGTGGGCTTGTTGATGATGCACCAATCAGAAAGTGATTGGGCGTGAGTGCTTCTGGGTAATTTGGGTCATTGGAGACATGCGTAATTGGTTGACTATTAACTGTCGCCTCCACTTCAGCTAACAACATTACCAGTGTATCAGGATGAGGGGCGCGTTCTTTTAAAATTACCTTTAGTGACGATTTGACTGTACGTATCATCTTCTCCCAAGATCCCCCCATCTCAGGGGCACCTGGTGGAATAAATCTCCATTCCACGCCTCGTATAGCTCCAGCCTTGCAAACTGCCTCCGTGTCTAGCTCAGATATACTTTTCTTCAGCTCTGCGTCTGCGCCCTTCAGGTTCATGCCGTTATCAGAAATAATTACTAGTGGCATACCACGACGAGCTGCCATGCGTCTTAATGCCATTATTGTGGAATCGGCCGTAAGGTCCTCAGTTACCTCGATATGGATCGCACGGACTGTGAGGCAAGTAAAGAGCATTCCATAACTTTTTTGTCTTCTGCGTCCGACGGTTACTTCGAGGGGGCCGAAGAAGTCAACACCGGAGTAGCTGAAAAGCCGCATATTGTGTTGTAGTCTAGCGGCAGGCAGGTCAGCCATACGTTGTGGCTGGGGCATAGCGCGTCTATAGCGGCAAAATAAACAACGGGATACAACAGTGCGAACGGTAGGTCTAAGCTTTAAAATCCAATAATGTTGCCGTAAATTATTTACGACAATCTCATTTGCACTATAAAATGCTTGCCTGTGGTAGTTTTCCACTAGCAAGCGAGTAATCCTATGTCGACAGTCTAAAATGGCAGGCCTGCAAGTGTTGTACTCAACACCCACTACCTTGTCAATACGACCGCTCACCCACAAAATGCCTAAGTCGTCGACATAAGGTGACACCTGCAGTAAGCGGCTATTCGACGGCAGATGCTTATTTTCTTTTAAGCATAACAGTTCTGTGCTAAAACTGTCGAGTTGACACTTTGTTATTAATAGGTTCTCTGCCTCCTTCATTAGAATAACGTCAAGTCTACAAGCTTTACGCTGACATCTTCTAAGGAATAGCAAGACCCTGGCCGTGGCGCGCACGAGAGTGGTCCAACTCGAGATATTATCTTCGTTAGGCAAAGGTAAATTTGAGGTATCGTGTTCTACGACCACATGCACTGACCGTTCCTCACATTTCGCTTCCTCTAGAGCTCTAATACGCTTAAGGTCCTTGGGCCACTGGTCTTTCGTACGGCGCAAAAAAGAAGGGCTTTGAAACCAGTCACTAGAGTAAGCAAGCGGAGGAGCATCTTTGCGCGTAGCTATATATGCCGTGTTAAAGCCAGTGGGAATGTGACGCCATTCACTCGACTTCGTCAATTCGTCTATTTCACCTAAACGGTGAGCCCCATAAGGTTTATAATTGCGTGGATCACTTCGGATCCAATGTAGCACAGTACTTGAGTCCGTCCAAAAGTACCGTGTCCCGGGCTGTGTATCTTTGTGCCCGTTCTGTACAGTAGCAGCGAGTCGCGCTGCTAACAATGCAGCTTGGAGTTCAAGCCTTGGAATAGACACCGGACGTAACGGACTTACTCTGCTTTTACTAGCTACAAAACAAACTAGTACACGACCATCCGAACGTGTAAACCGCCAATAAATAACAGCTGCATACGCTTTTGAAGAAGCGTCACAAAAAATATGCATTTGTTTATCAAAAATGTGGCGATCATAGATATGGTTATCAGTCAACAAGTTACGTACATTTTTCCATTGAGCGTCCGAGTAGCATTTAACCCATTAATGTGTACTGTAGTAGTGCCGTGGAATACGAAGTGAACTCAAGCTTCGTAAATCGTTTAACCAACTGATCCACAAAGCATGTTCTTCGGGTTGAATGCGGCAATTCCACTCAACTCCGCTACGATGTACGTTCTGAAAAATAATTTTTCCTTTAATTATAAAAGGTGAAAGAAAACCTTTTTCAACAGTGGTAGAGCCACGCGGCAGCTTTTGCTGTCGCACGGATGGGCCGGCTCGAACCGGGGTGGTACCACGACCTCATAGAATACCAGCGTGAAGTAGAGGTTTAACTCTGCGTTTCGCTTGGTGAGTGCAGGTGGCCGGAGGTCCCTTTTACTGGAAATGAGGCATTCCTAGTCCTCACGGGTGAAAACGCATCTGCATTTTGATTTGTAATAGAGGATAGATGTAGATGTCTATGGGTCCACAGCAACCACTTACCATCAGGTGGGCTGTGTGCTCGTTTGTCACACTTATCCTATAAAAAAAACGTGTAAATCATATACAGACATAATAATGCTTAACATTTTCGCTTTTGTAGGGGATTCCAACCCATTCAAAACATCTGGTGAAATTCTATTAAGAGTAATTTTAAATCCAAACGTATCATCGTTCGGATACCACATCAAACCGAGAATGTACTCAGTTATATTCGTAGCTCCATGTTTGAATTCCAAAGCAGTAGGCGCGAGCGCATCGGAAGGGATTGATTGCAAAACCCGTTTGCTATTGCTCGTCCAACGCGTTATCTCGAACCCACCTGCTTTATGTATAGCAGTTATTTGTTGCACCAATTGAATCGCCTTACTTTCCGATTCGCATGAATGCAAACAATCGTCCATATAATGATTATTAATAATTACATCGACGGCTTCGGGATATAAATCGTGATATTTTGCAGCATTTTTATTTTTTATATATTGTGCGATGAATGGTGAACAAGTGGCGCCGAATAATAAACTTTGCATAACAAATTTTTTTTAAGGGCGCCTCTGCACTTTCTTGCCAAAGAAATCGAAATACGTGTTGATCTTCAGAACGAATTTTAATTTGGACAAAAAAAATCTTTAATATCGCCTATTAAAACAATTTTATGTTCACGTAATCTTAATATAATACCCAATAAAGAATTATATACATCGGGACCCGTCAGTAAGTAATCATTTAGGCAAACACCTTTCACCTTTCCCGCACAGTCAAATACTAACCTTAGTTTTCCGGGCTTATTAGGGTTTTGAACCCCAAAGTGTGTTAGGTACCAAACGTGGCCAGCAGTCGAGAATTCATTTTCTTTAAGTTCCCGCGCTTAGCCGTGTTCGAAAAGTTTTTTTTATCTCGTTCCGATATCTTTCCTCGTAATCACTGTCTGATTTAAATTTTTTAACATACCTTCTAGCCTGTAGTGCGTGTAGGCATATATGTCCGGCATGGAAAACTCGTCCTTAACGAAAGGTAAGCCAACCTCCCATTGATTACCGATGTGACGCGCTGTCTCATCAAGTATACGTACCGCTCTCAGATGTGCCGTATTTTCGCGTCGTAAAGTCGAAACTCCAATGGAATCCAATTTAAATAATTTTTAACTATATCATTTAATTCATCTATATTGGTTACCTGTTCCTGCTGCTCGGAATGTGCAAATGCAATATGTGCCCTTTCACGGAGGAGTGAGTAAGAACGTAGCAACCATGAATGGACCATCTTAGTCGGCATCTCGTAGCGTATGGCTTTTGTTTGTTGCCATGCAGCACTTCTAAAGGCGCTAATAGAAAATAATTATCTTGCCATATCAGTAAACGAGGCACCACACATTGTTTACATACAAAATCTTTTACATATAACAAGTATTTACAGTTTAAATTATCGACTACAGACATGTTTTGCTTAGGTAATTTTAATTTATCTACCTGTCGAAATGTTACATCATAAAATATATTTTCGAAAAAGCCAGAAATTTTTGTACATATTTTAGGAGCATCAGACTGATATACTTCAATACCAAAAGCATCAATAAATTTCACAGGGTTAGATTGAGTAGGTGATAGACCTAATTCCTTAACTAGATTTTTATCGATCATCGAAACGGATGCACCATCATCTAACAACGCGTAAGTCGTTACACTACCACATGGGCCACATATATTCACTTTTACCAGCACTTCACTGCCGCTAGTATGACCGCCACTAGAGGAGGCGGCGTCGCTGCCCGGTGTGTGCGCGCCCGCATTGTACGGCGCGAGCGCGCCCTGCTGTCGCAGCGCGTTGTTCGGGTTCGGAGCCATGACATGAGCCACAGTCTCATTTCGTGACAACGGCTCCAACACAGGTGACGTCTCCTCTTCTCGCTCCTGGTCAAGCATTTGTATATAAGGTGCATTAGGCTTTTTAAAATGAAGCACACGATAATGTGCCAGTCCGCAGCCGTCTATGTCGCATAGGGCCGCCGGACAAGATTTCTGATCATGTCTATCTAGTAAACAACAATAACATAAGCCCTTCGATTTTATATACCTCCATCGATCTTTTCTCATAGCCCTTTTAAACAGACGACAGGCAGGTAATATGTGCATCGATTTTTTACAATAATTGCATAACTTAGTGCTGGTTTCCGAGGCTGTAGTTAGGACAGGTCGGTTGTAATTATTGAAGCGAGATTTATCATCAAACTTTCTGCCAGGTGGTATGGGTTCGGTTTTTTATAGTCTCGCAAATGTGTGACTCCTACAGCTGAAACTTTTTCAGGTTCTTGCTTGAGAAATGAACCTATCATTTTAAGCTTAGGTATATTGCATGATAGCTTATTATATGCGTAGTCGGTCCATTTACTTAACAATATACTAGGTAGCTTGGAGAGTATTGTAGCTGACAGTTCTAGACTACGTGGATAATCATGCTAATTTAATGCGTACAGGGTTGCGACACAGTTATTAACTTTCATTGAAAACAAAATGACATTATGCTGATAATTAGTAGACAATGGAGATAGCTTTTTCATTTGAGAAGTGAGATATTGAATAATTAAATCAGATTGACCAAACCTCAGTTCCTGTGCCTCCATGACAACAGCTGGTGACGTGTTGCCGATTAATAGGTCAGTAACTGCCTCCTTGGCATCACCTTTGAGTGCTCGACGTAGTCGCCATAGGTTCTCGGAGTCACTAAATTGACATGCACATGTAGATTCCTCATAGGCACTCTTAAAGTGCAACCACTCGATGCAATCTCCACTAAATGGAGGTAGTTCTCTAGGTGTAGACAGTCGGGTAAGCAATCGTTCCTCCTGATTAGTAGACGACGTAACCATGATGTCCTTCAGTGTGTGAGCGAGTTGAAGAATACTGTCGACAGGCGTGTGGTGGACCGGTGCGCGGACTGGGTCAACATAAGGTGCCCGAGCTGCCTCCGATGTCGCCGTCACTACCTCCGATGTTGCTGACGCTGCCGCCTTATGTTGCAGTAAAGAAGACGGCTGCATATTGCTGGTCTCCAGCTGCTGGTCCACAAAAGGCTGCTTCTTGATGCTTCTACTAATTTGACTCATCTTTGATTGCCATTCTGACGAACGGCTGCCTTCCATCTTTGCTAAATCAAACTCAAGCCTTTTGTCAATAAGCTTCATCTGAATCCTTGCTTTTTCCTCAGCAGCTGCCAGCTCAAGCTGTTTAAGTCTTAAGCGTGACGATGGAGATTCCGTGGCCTAGGTGACCGATTCATTTTTAGTCGATCTTTGCAGAGATGGAACTTTATTTCCAGAACGTTCAACTTTTTGCAAACTGCCCGCAACTCTGTCGTTCGCAAGCACGAGCTCGGACGCGTTTTCTAATTTCTCATTTAACTTTTCGCGGTTTTTTATCGATATAATTTTATTATTTGGTGGAGTACTAAACATAGCCCTGGTTATTTGGCGCCAAAGATCAACTTATAGATTATAGAATGAAACCACGATTTCACGAGTAAATTGAAGGCGTTCCAAGAACCGTGCCGCGTGCAACGAGTGTATGTGGGCAACTGCCCGTCGAAGGAATGATCTCCGATAATGTACTTGTAGGTGCAGCGGTTGTTCGAGAGCGCTTCTTACTTAATTTATTTCTAACATGATAGTACACAAGAATCAAACAATATACATAATATATAAATAGCATTAGAGAACAAATCACATAATAAATAAATATTTTATAATGCGTCGCTTACAGTAATTAAAATAAAATAAAAAAATCTTGAATGAACTTGAACAAATAAATAAAATTGAAGTGTCTGTTTTTAATATCAAATTAAATGCTTTTTACTTAATACATAAGAAAGTATATACGGTACTACAACAACAAAAACACTATTTTAAAAAAATTGCCTGTCTGTTTGGTCCGGCTAATTTCCGAAACGGCTGGAATGATCTTGACGAGACTTTCACTGGCAGGTTGCTGATATTATAAGGAGTAACTTTGGCTACCTTTATATTTCAAAAAGAATTAAGGTTCCGCGCAAAAAAATTAAAACCCATGAAATCCAATCGTAATAAATTACACGCGGGCGAAGTCGCAAGGAACAGCTAGTTTGTGTATAAAATACGAAGAAACATTTACCCCAACCAAATATTTAAGCAAATAGATAAATATCTATATTCAGTTTGTAGACCATATAAACACTTCATCTGTGCAAGATTCAAATTCGCCAATTAAACAGTCAAGTCGGACTTAAACGAATTTTATTTTCGCAAAGTTCAATAACAAACTAGCAGTAATACCTACTGCGGCCAATGGATCGCCGTATGAAGTTTTCAATAGAAGCATTATATTAAAACGTTTTTTTTTACTTTACTAAGGTCAAGAGCCGTAAGCCGTAGAGCATGTTTGAAGGGAATAATGAAAGTGGACGAAACAAAACAAGTATGTAAGGATCGTAGCAAGTGGAAAGAACTGGTCTCTGCCTACCCCTACGGGAAAGAGGCGTAATTATATGTATGTATGTATGTATGTAATTTTACTAAAAAATTATATTACATTTTATTGTGATTTTGGGAAAACAGCACAATACACAGATAAAATATAGAATCAAAGACTTAAAAGAATCTGAATTTTCGAATACACGAGCCACAAAACAAGTGAATCCAATTAAGGAAAAATTTATGAGCAAGTGAATATTTTTGACTAATGTTATAATTTTTATTATAACTGTTTAATTTTTTAATAATAATTGATAACTTTATTTGTTTTTAACAAAATTTTAAAACTGTATGGAGCCTTCTAAAAGCCCAGGGCGGGTATCTCCTCTGCATTTGGCATGGTAAACTACACTAAGGTAAGCGTCAATAGAGACTGCAGGCTACTCAACGCTTACATTATACTAAATAATTATCCGATCATGTCAGTCCACGACTTATGAAAATTACGCTTCCAAAGTAGTGCTACCATTTAGGATGCAATTGAACAGCTTCTGTAGGACTTCAAATACTTGTTTTCATATAATTGGAATCCAGTTTTAAAAAATAATGTTATTTTTTTTATAGGATAAGGGTGACAAACGAGCAAACAGTCCACCTGATGGTAAGTGGTTGCTGCGGCCCATAGACATCTATTGTCTATTACAAATCAAAATGTAGATGCGATGTCACCCGTGAGGACTAAGATGGAATGCCTCATTTCCAGTAAAAAGGGCCTCCGGCCACCTGTACTCACCAAGCGAAACACAGAGGTACGCTGGTTTTCTGTTAGGTCGTGGTACCACCCCGGTTCGAGCCGGCCCATCCGTGCGACAGCAAAAGCTGTCGCGTGGCTCTACCACTGTTGTTAATAAAACTACGATCACCACACCGTTCAGTTTGTACAAATTTAACTTCTTAAGTTTAGGGCACAGAAATGCAGGTAAAACCTTCCGGAGTTTTGTCATGAGATCACTAGAGCTCTAGATTTCTGTTGTTGCCACTTAGATGAATTTTTCTTTTATTTGATGTTAATTTTCTCTTGTCTCTTACACCTCAGCCTAGGCGATTCTGTTCCGGGAAATATATCTAATGTCGGTAAAGCGTTTATTACATTATTCAATTTTTAGAAAATCTAAATAGGAAATTGGAAAATGTAATCGTAGTTAGAACTGTTAGTATCCGATTTAGTTAAAGTTGGAGGTCCCGACCGCTCTACTTTCTAAATTGTCTACAATTTAGGACAGTGTAATCGCAGCGTTACGATTTACAACGACCAGTCGGTGCCTGCGCCATAGACAATACACTATATAAGCCCGCGCTTTGATCTAAGTGGATGTCTAGACTGCGCGTGCGACATTTGTTTGCGAAGGCGAGTGAAGCGACAGAATTGAGCAGTGATTCGTGTGGCAGCATGTCCACAGAAAAAGACGTGTTATTACAAATTATAGACCTGTATAGGGAAATGCCCTATTTGCATAATAAAAATAATAAAAACTATTTAAACAAAGCAATGCGTGAAGAGGGCTTCAAGGTGTTGTTAAATATTTATAAATACAATGACAAGTATTTTTTAACCCAGCATTTTTTCTTCTTCTTTTCTTTTTTTAATATCCATTTTTATACGTGGTAGAGCCATGCTGCAACTATAATTATGGTATAGTTGTAGCGCGAATGGGTTGGCTCGACCGGGGAAGGACCACGCTCTCACAGAATAAGGTATGGTAAGTGTAGAGAACCGGATACCCTTTTTACTGGAAAAGAGGCATTCTATCTTAGTCCTCACGGCTGAAAACGCATCTGCATTTTAATTCGCAAACGAAGATAGATGTAGACGTCTATGGGCCACAGTAACCACTTACCATCAGGTGGACTGTGTGCTAGTTTGTCACCCTTTAAAAAAAATCCATTGTTCCCACCACGCCTAAGCTAATTCCTATTTTCTGCTGTTTTGATAAATACGGCGCCATCGATCAAACGTGCAACCCCGTCGATACCTCTTGTACGAATGTGCTTCGTCACGATTTAGAATTATATTTAGTATAATGTGATCACGAGCTTCCAGTTTAGATACCAAATTAGATTTTCTAAAAATTGAATAATGTAATAAGCGCTTAGAGCAACAACCTTTATTACTATTTTTACGTACAAAACAAATTTTCACAAATTTAAACTTAAACCATTTTTCTAGAATGTTTGCGATATTCTATCAAAACACATACGAAATGATGAAAATAATGCTATGTATATACTTGATATCACCTCAAACCATCCGTTAAAGTTAATGCTTTAACGGATGGTTTGAGGTGATATCAAGTCAAAATTTTATTAGGAAATATCCGTACAGATATACTTATTTGGATAGATAACAAATTCCTTCAATGTTTTATTGAATGAAGGAATGAAATGCATACCTATGTCAAAATCAAACACCATTATTAGCTTATTGAAATTATTATTTTATATATATTTATAGTCATATCAAAAATCACAAATCTGATACAAATAATCAATTATTTAATCTAAAATGTGTACTAATCTACATTTAATGTTTTAAATGTGCCTGCTATTCCCATATACTCTTCGTTAAATTTGTCAGTCTGTCTGTACTTTTCGTTTGTTAAAGCTCCTTTCATTTCGCTGTAATATTCTTGAAACTCCTTTGAACTAATAACATCTATACATTCCCCTGTAAAAAAATATCGTTTATAATTGCATATATAAAACACATATATAACGAATTCTTTCAGTATAGTATAATTTTTAAACAACGTTGCAAAAAATAAAAGTAGAAAACAAAAATAAAATCTAAAGAAGTAAGTTTCTCACTCGTTGAAGCAGTATACTCGTAGCAGTATGTCAAGAAAAAGTATGTTGAATTGATAAAGTCCGAACGTTATAGTAAAAATCACTTTATTTGAAACAGTTAAAAAAATGTTAATGTTAACGGTGGTAGAGCCACGCAGCAGTATTTGCTGTTGCACGTATGGGCCGGCTCGAGCCGGGTTGGTACCACGACCTCACAGAATACCGGCGTGAAGTAAAAGCTCTGCTTCTGCATTTCGTCTAGTGAGTGCAGGTGGCCGTAGGCCCAATTCCCCCCCTCCCATCAATATGGTAGCGGAATCACATGTTAGACTACCCCAGGAGGGTACCAGCACCCCTGGAGAAACCTTGCTGAGCATCCATGACCATGTTATTCCACTCCTGAGCGTGGGTACTCAGGCTGCCCCGCGTATTCTGGGGGGGGGGGGGGGGCGAAGCCGGCCTTGCTCTTTCTGACCGAGACGCAGGTTTCCTCTTCGGCTGATATTTCGTATCTCTCCTACCCGGGGTACAAATTGGAGCACTCCTTTTTGCCTCGGGCTGGAGTTTGCGTGTATGTCAGAGAGGACATCTGTTCTCGACACCGACGTCTTGAAGGTTCGGACCTGTCCATCCTTTGGCTACGCGTAGACAGCGACGACCATCCGCGTGTCTACGTGTGCCTCTATAGGTCCCATAGCGGTAATACCGAAACAGACCGACTCATTGACCACGTCCAAATGGCTACAGATTCTTTGCTACAACAGGTCCCATCCGCAGTGATCGTGATCCTTGGCGATTATAACGCCCACCACGCCGAATGGCTCGGTTCACGTTTAACGGATCATGCGGGGAGATCTGTTTATGACTTTGCTTTGGCATATGGTCTGACACATTTGGTTACTTCGCCTACGTGGATTCCAGATGTGGAGGATCATACACCTTCCTTGTTGGACCTTCTGCTGACCTCTCATCCGGACGGATATCAGGTTTCCGTCGATGCCCCTCTCGGCTCTTCGGACCATTGTCTGATCCGGTGTGTGCTACCACTCACGCTCCCCTCGCGGTTGCGTACCACAGGTTGCCGCCGTGTTTGGCATTACAGGTCGGCGGATGGGCACGGAATGCGGTCTTACCTTGCATCCTACCCATGGGGGCGGGTTTGCTTCTCACCGGATGATTCCAGCTCTGTTGCTGACTCTGTCACTGATGTGGTGCTACAGGGAATGGAACTATTTATTCCATCATCTGTGGTACCCATCGGAGGCAGATCTCAGCCTTGGTTTGGTCGCTCCTGTAAGACTACATTACGCAGTAAGCAGGAGTGTTATCAAACCTGGGCTGCGGCTTCGGCGACTCGGGATGTAAACACTAGCACACTTAAAAAGAAGTATAACTTCGCCTCCAGGTCCTTCAAAAGAGTTATTGCCAAGGCAAAGTCAGAGCACATAGGCAGAATTGGCGAGAAACTAGTTCGCCTTCCTTCGGTAACTCGTGCATTCTGGTTTCTCGCCAAGGCTGTCCAAGGGAATTTCTGTAAGCCATCACTACCATCTCTGCACAGGGAGGACGACTCACTGGCCCAAGACGCAATAGACAAAGCCGACCATTTTGGCTCCCTTTTTGCATCCAACTCGACTCTTGATGACGGGGGGAAAACACCGCCGACCATCCCGCGGTGTGAGTGTTCCATGCCGGATGTGCTGTTCTCACAGCGCTCGGTTCGCAAAGCATTCCTCTCCCTGGACATCCAGAAGTCGAGTGGGCCTGACGGAATCCCCCAATTGTGCTGAGGACATGTTCTCCGAAGTTGGCACCGGTCCTAACGCGTCTTCTCCGGTACTCCTACTCCCAAGGCGTAGTCCCGAATTCATGGAAGACAGCTTTTGTGCACCCGATCCCTAAAAAAGGCGACCGCTTAGACCCGTCCAACTATAGGCTTATCGCGATCACCTCCTTGTTCTCCAAAATAATGGAATAAATTATTAACTGCCAGCTCATGCGGTACCTTGAGGATCACCAGCTGATTAGTGACCACCAATACGGTTTTCGTCAGGGTCGATCAGCTGGTGATCTTCTGGTCTACCTGACCCTTAGATGGGCAGAGGCAGTAGAGTTCAAGGGGGAGGCGTTGGCCGTTAGTTTGGACATTGCGAATGCCTTCGATCGGGTTTGGCACAAAGCGCTTCTTTCGAAGCTCCCTTCCTATGGGCTTCCCAAGAAATTGTGCGATTGGATCACCAGCTTCCTACAGATCAGAGCATCAAGGTCGTTGTAGACGGTGCATGCTCCAACTAAAAGCCTAATAACGCTGGTGTTCCACAAGACTGTGTGCTATCACCATCGCTGTTTCTTCTGCATATCAATGATATGTTGCTAACTGGTAACATTCATTGCTAAGCGGATGACAGCACTGGTGATGCTCTATACACCGGCCGTGCCAATATTTCTCGATAAAACGTCGCCGAGTACCGGAACAAACTTGTGTCTGAAGCAGAGTCTTTGCTGAACAAAGTCTCGGATTGAGGGCGACTAAATCTAATCTAGTTTAATCCTCAGAAGACTCAAGTTTGCGCGTTTACCGCTAAAAGGAAACCCTTTGTCGTATCTCCTCAGTTTCAAGGCACTCCCCTTTTTGCCTCAGCAAGTATCGAAATCCTCGGAGTCGACATATCGAGTGACGTGCAGTTTCATGGTCACTTGGAAGAGAAGGCCAAATTGGCCTCTAAAAAGCTTGGCGTGCTCAGCAGAGCGGGACAGTATTTCATGCCGACACACCGCCTGCAACTTTACAAGGCGCAGGTTCGGCCTCACATGGAATACTGTTCCCATCTCTGGGCAGGGCCTCCCCAGTGCCAGCTCCTTCCACTTGACCACATCCAGCGCAGAGCGGCTCAAATCGTCGACGACCGAGTCCTTTCCGATCAGCTCGATTCATTGGCACTGCGAAGAGATGTTGCATCCCTTTGCATTTTCTTTCGCATCTACCACGGGGAGTGCTCTAAGGAATTGTTTGGATTAATCCCAGCCGCCAAATTTCACGAACGCACATCGCGGCAGAACTCCCGATACCATCCACACCATCTGGATGATTGGCGGTCCACCACTATGCGATTTAGAAGATGTTTTCTTCCTCGCACGACTCTTGTGGAATCAATTACCATCAGCGATTTTTCCGGACCGATACGACTTAGGGACCTTCAAGAAAAGAACGTACTCCTTTTTAAAAGGCCGGCAACGCATCTGTGATTCCTTCCCTGGTGTTTCAGCTGTTCATGGGCGGTGGTAGTCACTTACCATCAGGTGAGCCACATGCTAGTTTGCCCTCTCTCCTATAAAAAAAATTGTTATGAATGCACCCGACACTGTTTCGTAACGAAAATGCACTAAACAAATTGGCGCACCAATTACGGACAAAGATGTTCGGTTTCACCGAACATATTCCCGTGGGATGAAGATAACATAAAACAATAAAATTAAAAAATTAAGAAAACACATATTATAAAGATTCATCACTGAACACTAATTTTGAGAACGCAACGCGCGATTCCACATGCCATTTTCCTGAAATGTCCATGTCCACCAACTGAATATCTTGTTATGATATTGAGATGCTGGTTCGCGGCGCAGGATGAGGGCGAGAGCCACGTTGCTCTACAGTTGTCGGCTCTGTCATCTAATTAGTGGTCCAACAATATACTTTTAATCTGATTTGTCGGTGCTATATTTGGCATTTTTATGTCGTAATTAAGGTTAATTTTGCTTTCAAAAGGAGATGAACTTTGTTCCATACAAGCTTGGGTCCGCGTAAACAAAGTTCAAATATATCTTATTTTGAAGATTTAAACATTTGTTACTTATGACAAAAAATCATATTTTTGTAGGGCCTGGGGTTATGTTTTTATTTCGTTTTATTATTTCTAGGTTATGTAGTAAAATCACTCGTTCTTTGGGTAAGTTGTTTCAATAGATTGAAAAGAACACAAAAGGATGCCGTTTTTAAGTTATTATTAAATAAAATACAACTCAAAAACTCAAACTTTTCTAATTGCTTAATTATTTTATGCAATTATTAATAAAATGTCATCTAGAAAAGTAGCCTGAGTTTTTTCTATTCCTCTCAAAACCCAAAATAACACAATAATGTCATCATGTGGATGCAACAACCTACTGTCCTGTAAATCGAGAGAAAAGCCAAGGGTCAAGTTAATTTAATTCACGAAAATAGAAACACGAAATGTATCCACAAATACAATCACAATGCCAAATCGCATGACAAGTTTAAGCTCAACTCAAAGTTACCAAGTCTCCTTCGAAACAGGCAATGATCAACGGCCATAGAGCCTATTCAATCGTGTCCGATGTTATTCAAATATTTTGTTTAGTTAAATAACGTAGCCTATTCAATATTGATTTGGTAAATAGATTTCTTTTATTGAGTATTAATCTCTACAGATTCGCCTCAATGTTTCAATATTATGAGGTTTTTTTTTGATACTGAAGGCTATTTATTACAAAAAATAGCCACACAAAAAATATTAAAAAACGTTTTGATTTTGCTATGGTAAAAGCATTAGTTTCAGTTTTCAGTTTTAAAAAATGTTTTTATGACTGTCCCATATACTACAGAAATAAAAACCATTTAATTATGCTTATAATTTATCGTTATATTACCTACATATTTTTGTATAACTGTTACGAACGATGTCAATAACCCAATTTCATACATCTCCTTTCTGTGTCAATAAATCGTAAAGTCGTTTCTTTTGATGATGCATTCGTCATCTTGATATATGACGTTGCTACCGATCAGGTGATGTACACTAACACGATCTCCACATATTATTCTCAACTGACATTGTTCACAGCAAAAATAAAGGTAAGTGTTCATTGCAGTTAATCCAGTCCAATTGTTCTCATACGCGGTTTTGCTTGTTTTACATTCATTATTAGTAATTTCTAAGATGCACAAAGCTTTACCAGATTTCATCTTAAATACTTGAGTTTGTAGTTTGCACATAAATCTTTTGACATAATTATATTGCGACACATTTCTTCAAGTTCTCTTGAGTTATAGGTAAGTAGCTACTTACCTATAACTCAAGAGAGAGGTAGTAACTTTGAAGATTGATTGCGATGATCTCAGCTACTGGTGATATTGTTAAGACATAGATGCCGATTTTCTTCGGGATAGAGATCACATTATATAGATTAAATAATTCGCGGCTTATTTATGGAATCTTAATTTTAAATATGAAATAATCATTTTCACCCTTGTTCTGATATTCATGAGTTTGTAGAACTTGCGACAATCTGTATGTATATTTTCAACTGGCAGTGTTTATCTTTTGGTTAATAATCCGGCAAAAATATTTAGTTGTTCTTGTAATTGATGCGGCGTCAACAAGTGTTAATTGAAATGGCCTTGTTAAATATCTGTAATCGTTTCAATCATCATTGCTTGGATTTCTTTCAATTTATGGATCATATTGGTACTTCTATTACTTCTCGTTGTAGTGTCTTTATAGCCTTATCAAGATTGTTTAGTTGTCTATTTATAGCTTTATGTTATTTATCCATAATTTCCTCCAACCGTTTCAGATATTAGTTGTATTCGGATTCCACCACAGATGTCTGATTGATTCCCAACATTCTAAGATGGGCTTGATCTTGTTTGATAAAGTTAAGGTCACGTGTATATTGTTCGGCGAATTGCTCATCCAATACGCCGAACCATGTATTGGCAACCGACCCTATTAATAAGGCCGCGTCATCATCGTCTGGAGCGCTTGGTAAAATGATGGGTCATCAACAGCTAATTATAGTTTTGTAACTCCGTATAATCGTGACGTAGCTGTGGAACGATCAGGTTACATTTTTTGTTTGTATCCATAATTATGCACGATTTTTCTACGTAATCTAATAATTTTTTGAATGCTTTTGTCCCGTCCCAAAAGGGTTCTATCTCATAGTAGGTTACTAGGGTCAATTGATCTCTCCGAAGCTAGAGTAGTGTAAATATAAGGCGATATTACCGCTGTTTTGGTTAACACCAAAATATAAGATTTCATAATTATAGAATATCGTAAAAATATAAAACTTACTATGTAATTTAGTTATAGACCTCTCATTTCCACCTAGCTCTTCTGGCAAGACATCTCTTTGGACAACCTTGTGCAGTGATTCCAAATCCTTATGTATTTGAAAACGTTGAAATAATTTTGCGCTTAAAATTTGTTTGCAAAATGTAAATATTGTTTCTGCAGTTTTTGAGTGAGTAATTACATGCACAGCTTTTATTTTCATTCCGTAGCCACCCTGAAAAAGCATGTTCTTATAAATAATAAGTTTGTTCGTAACGACAGCCTAACATTTTCGATTAAATCCAAGGGTATTTCAGGTTTGTTATCAATGTCATACAACCCATTTCTGTATCCGCAACACGGTTAATAGCTAAGCAAGAACGCGTAGATCTTCTTGCTGTACAATTTTGTTTAAAGGTACGATTTAGTGGATGGACTTTTAATGTTAAATTATCATTTTATATAATATTTTTTATATATAACGTATTTGAATGAATATAATAACACATAGACATGGCGTTAATCATCTCTCTTAGATGTAAAATACTAAAGTAAAAGTTACAAACGCTATATATATATCCCACCGCTGGGCACAGGCGTCCTCTCATTTTTGAGCATGTTTAAACCAATGGTATGATGGCCTAAAATGACGTACTTCACATGTCTTTGAAATATTTATTCGAAATAATTCTTTTTGGGCATAGAGTTATCTTCACGATGTTTTTCTTACTTTTACGATATTTTCCTTACTGTCACAATGTTTTTTTTTTATGAAAAGAGGAGGTAAACGAGCATGCGGCTCACCTGATTGTAACCGACAGGTCGGATGGTCGACCGTCGCCCATAAACAACTGTAAAACACGACACAGGGGAATGACAAATGCATTGCCAACCATTTAAAAAATAGTAGGCTCTTCGCTAGAAGGTCTCTAACTCCTGAAAAATCTGTTGTTGAGTTGTGTAAAAAAAGTTATGCGAAGAAGAAAACTTCTTGTAAATAGCACCAAATGCAGATGGTATGGATGGTATCACGAGTTTTGTCACAATGCCTTATTATTATACTTCGCGATTTTTTTTTTAATGAAATTATCGTTTCATTTAGCTGTACTAACATGATGGAGCGTGAATAAAGTTAATAAAACGTTGTGAAAAGATGATGTCTTTTTCCTCGGGATCAAATTTATTTGTGACCCATGTTCTAAGGTCCTACCTACCTACTATCATCTGTCTTCGTTTTCGGGAGCGTTTCACAAACACCCGGTTGACATATCAACATATTCTAGGAATATTTTATATTTCATGAAATATGTAAAAATCTATAAAGTATTTTCTGAAATAATAAATAGAAGAATGATAGGTTATATTGAGTTCTTTATAAAATATAAAAAACATTTCGTATTTTTTTGTTTTAAATAAAAATGTAATTTTTTTAATCAGCTTAGAAAATTTGTGTGATGAAAAATCATTTCTTTTTCTAAAACTATTAATTTTAATCAAAACTGAAAAAATCTTATAAAATTTAATTATTAATAATCATTGTTGCCACCTCTTACATTAATTACTCATCGGCTTTGATTGTTCATACTTAAAATTAAATTGTCAATCTGCTGTCTTGCTGCGGTATGAGGTTCCATATTCTAATTTACGAAACTATACTTGGGAAACCTCTCAAATATTTTCGTTGTAACATGTCCCAAGCATGCTCGATAATAATTAAGGCGGGCGACTGTGCAGGCCAATCCAAAATTTGAATATCGTGGTCTCGGAGAGCGGCCGACATCATCCGCACCGTATCGGAAGGAGCATTATCGTGCATGAGTAGACATTTCTGGCCCATTTGGATTCTTTCTGGGGCAATAACAGGCACGTAGTATTTTTGTTCAGTCATGCTTCCTTGGATCCAAAATAAGCTGGGTTCATCCGCCAAGACGAATTCCTGCCCACACCATGATTGTCCCGCCTTGGTATGAGTGGACCTCCTGAGGATGCCGTAGATGGCTAACTCTCCCTGGAGTTCTGCAAACGCTTGTTCTTCGTGAATGCGGATGAAATCCAAACCGAGATTCATCGGTGAACAGCACCAAACACAATTGTTTGTCACTCCATGGTGAATGTTCCCGAGCCCATGAAATCCGCTGACTGCGATTGCCACGTCGCAATGCTGGTACACGTAGCAGTCTTCGAGCATTAAGACCAACTTCATGCAACCTCCTTCACACGGTTTGGTCGCTTATCAGCAGCTAGTGGTCCCCCTGGAGCTTTTGTAGTAGTTGCATAGCTGTGATATTGGGTTGTCTTCTGGCGGTCATTTGTAGAATTCTATTTTGTCTCTGTGTAGTAACACGATACCTACCCGTTTGCCGTTCAACCACATCTCCAGTACTGCAATAACGGGACCACAGCAGGTGTGTAGGGCCTCAGCAATGACGCGTTGAATAGCACCATTATATAATATGCCCACGGCTCGTAAAATTTCATCTCGACTCAAATGACGACGTGACATGACTCTTAAAGCTCACACGGGACGATATATTAAAAAGGAAAAATAATCTAATCCCTTTTCATTATGTAATTAATATCAGTAGAACAATTACAATTTTTCTTGACGTAACGAATTACTAACAATTTTGCCGCCGTATTATGTTTTTTCTTTTGTTTATTTTTTATAATTTACATTTTAAAATTAGAATAAAAGAGGTTTAAATATGTACATAAACTTTTTATGAAAATAAAAAAGATTATAAACTATAAAGTCGTAAATAATTTGGGATTAAGGTATCACTAGATTATGTTGATGTGTGTATATATGGCATTCGATGTTGTAAATCATGACATATTAATGCTCACAGGCCTCCGCTACCATATGTGCAAAGTGTGCAATGCGCCATTCTTTAGGGGCGCCAAAACCCAGGGTCAAAAATTGCAAACATTTCCAAAAAAAAAATTAATTTTAAAATAAAACTTGAGACATTAAATAGGATTAGGTATACGAGTATACACACAAAATTTTGTTAGTATATCATTCAGTTACTGCCGATTCCTATGTTGTCAGGCGGTAGTTTCTTGATTTTTCCTGTTCCGACATGAACATGCCCGGAGCGCTATAAAAGCGATGCATCACCAGAGGCGTTTTAAACCGGTTAGTTCACTGGACCGTGCAACAAGTGCATAAAAACAAGTAATCCTATTAATTGTTACATTTGAAACTATTTTTATTTTGTCAAGTGTTGTGTTGTATAATATTTTGTTAGCTACTTTTTTTTCTTAAAAATAAAGTGCTGAATACCTGCTGACTGCAATTTCAACGGTTTGATTTTTTATAAAATGGTAAGTGTTCCCTACTTTACTTTATACTATCAACATAAATCCTTTGTAGGAATGCTATCTGTTTCCTATTCCTGTCTGTTTCATGTACTTATCTAATAACTTATTTATTTATTTATTTATTTAACTTTTTTGAACCTTATAAAATATATAAGTACAAAAGGCGGACATAATGCTTAAAGCATTCTCTGCCTGTCAACCTTGAGGAGTGGAAAAACATCGAAGGCGGTTATTATAATACATAACAGTACAGAATAAGAAATATAATGAATTTAGGAATTATAGCATATAAACATAAAAATAAAAAATACAAATACCATACATACATATACATATATATATATATATATACAAACTACATACACACATATATATATACACAAATTCACATATAAATACATATATACACACAAATATACATATATACGTAAAAAACATATTATGATGAAATTAACTATTAACACAGATTAACTCAGATGATGACGCCAACTTAGGAGTTCTTTACGACTTTCAGAAAATGTTCTTTAACATACTTTTTAAATGTTACTTTGTTGGAGCGTTTTCTCAAAGTTTCAGGCAGTGCATTCCAAAGTCGCGCAGCTCGTACAGCAAACGAGGAAGAAGAGAAACCGGAACGGTGAAGTGGAATGGAGAGCGTAAGAGTCTCCGAAGAACGTAGAGGTCTATTATGCGTATCAGATAGAAATTGAAACTTACGTTTCAAATAGTCGGGACAACGATTGTCGAATAAAATAGAAAAAAGTGTGAGAAGTGTCCTGACTTGCCTCCGTTGGCGAATGGGAAGCCAATTTAGCTGAAATCTAAAGGAGGAAACATGGTCAAACTTGCGAAGACAGAAGATGAATCGGACACAGTTGTTTACGAGACGATCCAGCTTGTCTAGAAGGTTCTCATTAAGATCAGTACAACACACATCAGCATAATCAATAATGGGCAAAATAAGAGACTGCACCAGAGTTATCTTTACCTTGACCGGAAGGAAGTTTCTAAGGCGATTTAGGGCACCCAACTTAGCAGTAACTGAAGCACTTATTGTTTGAATGTGAGTGGACCAATTGAGAGTTGAGTCCATACAGAGGCCTAGGTTTTTCACAGTGCTGGAATAAGGGATGCATGATCCATCAAACATGACAGGAGCGACAGAACAAATATCAAGTTTAGATAACTGACGAGCACTTCCTATTAAAATTGCTTGGCATTTGTTAGGATTCACTAGAATGCCAAATTTGCTAGCCCAATTGCTTAAATTTAATAAATCTGTATTAATATTGATAACAGCATTATCAATGTGATCCACATCAGTCTGAGTATAAATTTGCAAGTCGTCGGCGTAGAAATGGTAAGAACAGCAAAGTTGAGAGGAACTTCAATAGATAATATAGGAAAAAACCTACAACTTCCGCATCAAACATTTTTTTTCTATCTGACATAATAAAGACTCTAGGAAGCACGTAAATATAGTTAAAAACCCTGTACGAGTTTAAAAAATTGGTGTTTTATCCATAACTCGCTTAGTTTTTATTCAATCGATCTTTTTAAAAACCATTTTGTAGGTTTTTTGAGGGCTAAAAGATCAAATTAGATTAATACTTTTTCTGCCTTTATTTTTGAAAGGGTTTAAGCTGAAAGGGCTCGAAAAAATAGCTTTTTACTTAAATATGCAATATGCAAACTTGGGGTGCTAATTATTGTGATTACTTTAGAAGTTAATTCCTAATTCCCACAAGTACTAATAATTTATTTGTTTTTTCAGGATAAAAGAAAGAGACCTTCAGGTGTGAAGTTTCGCGAGCAAAAAAAACTGAGACTACAAGAAAGGGATAAAATGGCTGGATTTTTAAAGCACTTCTTGCAAAACAATTAAGATTCCACGAAGACTATCGATGCGACCGAATCTCAAGATTCTAAATCCGTAATATCAGTAGCCGTGAGTGGACCATCTGAAATTTCAACAGAGGCGACTACGGTAACATCAGGTCCTGCAACAAGTGGCGGCGGTAGTAGCAGCAAAACAGCTTCAACTGATACAGAGCCCGATGAAGCGATGCCACCATCCTCGTCTACAGCACTTGAACAAACCACTTCAGGGAATTGAGCTTGTGTAAGAAGTTCAGTAATGTTAGCTACCGAAATACCTGCTGCAATTGACACTTCCGATGAAGGCTTTAATAAGACTAGCGCCAATATAATTCCATCCGACCCCGGTTTGTGGCCCGAAATAATCACAAATGAGATAGCTAGAATATTGGTTAAACGTGGTCCGCCCTTGATAGACATCAGTTTTAGCTTTCCTAGTAATAAAGATAAGACAAAGTTTTTGTGCAAATAATTTGTAAGAAGTCTATCAAATGGAGAAAATGTCAAAAGGACTTGGCTTATTTACTCTATTTCTAAAGATACTGTATTTTATTTTTGTTGTAAGTTGTTTTGTAAAAAATTATGTGGGCTCCAGCCAGAGGTTGCAAAAAAAAGCAATCTTTATTTAATATATATTTAATTTAAAGTAATTATTACAATTAATTCTTATAACTAAGTGAGGTGACTCTAATTCGATGTTTGAATGTAGAATGAATTCACACGGTAAAATATTAGATCCAGGTAATATAAGACAGTAGACACGTTATGCTGACACGGCGCCTCGTGATCGTCGTAAGCCGATGCAACGCAGCAGATTGCCTGGATTAGGGCTGCGTAACACCTCCCCCCGAAGAACAGCGACTATGGAAGACCTTGGTCGTGAATTGAGCTGGGAGTTGATCGGGATCAATCTTCTCAGTGTCTGGAACAGCGTATACCCTTAATGATTTAGGATGGTCCTCTTCTGAGTTCCTTTGCGTACCTCCAGTTAGCTTCGGCTTGTATCTTCTATAGAGTATGCATAGAATCAGTGCACCTGCACTTATTATTAATGCGTAAAATGGTATTGTAGTATGATATAGACTGTAGTCATCGTTTCTTCTTAAATTCAATGGCGATTGCTGGGATATTTTAGTGTTCGTTGCATGAAGATGTTGGAGGTTTATTGAATTTAGTTTATATGCCGATGCAGAAGATGGGATGCTGGTGTGTTCCTCAGGTATGTCCATTATCTTTAAGGCTTGTCCCTTCAATCGATCTTTAGTATTTGAGATCGAGAATAGTGGCGTTTCTATGTAGCATTTCAGAGGGACAATAACGAGATAACTACCTTGAAGTATTTTGTAGAGATCTTGTCCACAGGATAGATGTACTTTCGTTGGTGTGGGGAAAGTGATGGTGTAATGCTTGTCGTCCAGTTCTTCGTAAGCTGGTTTATCTAGGGTGACTGTATACGGGTTACATACTGCATTCGTCTGTTGTTTAGTGATGAGGTGATGGATGCAATCAGGGGATGTTTGACCTCTCAGGCTCCGCTTTTCTTTACAGATGTACCATTTACTGGTCTTCGGGCATTCTGCCTCTATGTACTGAAAATCTTTCTGATAAATGGCTAGGAATGGAAAGGGTGGTGTGAGGATTTCGTGTCTCTTGTTAGGAACAATAGATAACTTATACATATCATATATATGGGGTAATAGAATTGGGAACTTAAATACTATTACTATTTCATTTCCTACATAATATGAACCTAATCTAATAATATCATAATATTCCCTAATATCTAAATCTCCTACCTTTTTATTTCCATAAAGTTCGGTTGCTCTGTTAATCATTATTCGGATAGATTTTAAATTAACTATAGAGTGGTGCATAGTGTTAGCTCTTATAAATGCTAAGTTGTTCTGTAACTTAATTAATTCCTGTGAAATGGAATCAACGTTATCACTAAGGATCATTAGTACTTGTCCAAAATGGGCATATTTAATTAGGTCATAGTCTCTGGTAGCCTCGGATTGATTTATTTTACCTATTAGTATTTCTAATTTATTTTGATTATCTACAATGCTATCTATTATTCTGGAGTATTGATTTGATAAATCTTTAGTTAGGCTTACATGATTATTAAATTCCGTAACGATTTTATTTTCGTCTTCGTGGATGGATTTTATAGCACGATTAAAATGATCTGCATCTGTATAATCAAGGTTACCAGTTATACTTTTTATGATGGAACCGAGACCATCTACAAGTCCTCTTTTCTCACGGTTCGTTTTAAAGCTACTCAACTGTATGGTGACACTTTCAAGCTTATTTTTAAGATAATCAATATGAGGCTGAAATAACGAATTGGTTATGTTGTTGAGGTTAGGGCTAATACTGATTAACTGTGTTTTAACTGAATTTACTTTATCTCCTAATTCCTGGAGATTTACATATTGCAGAAATGCATGGTAGTGGGATAGGATTCGAGCGGGGCCTAATTTGAAGGGTAATATACCAGGTCCATCGCTAAGACTTTCAAGTCTTATCTCCTGCATTAGAGCTGGTCCCAGAAGGAGATGAAGTACCAGGAGAGTCCTGTAACAATTGGTTCGTTTTAGGTATTCTCTTCAATCGAGTTTTTGCTACGGGGCCTCGTTTTTTCTTTGTATAAATGTGAATTGGGAGGTTTGCCATTACTGTGTCGTGTGTGTATCGAGGAGCTAATTTCTGACGGGATGCGAATGGATTTTTTATAAAGATTTGTTGTTCCGGGGAATATTCAGCTTCCTGTTCTCGGTTTTTATTGCGAGTATTAGTCAAGTCTTTACGCATGTCGTTACATAGATCGTGAATAGTTTTATAGGTCTCAGTCATTCTGTCTTTGTGGTTTACGACGTACTGTTGAAGTAAGTGGGCGGACAGATCTATGTCAAAAGGATCGCGAGGGTCAAAATGTCCTGTAATTACTTCTATTGGTTTGCATTTTGTGAAGCTATGTATACTATGATTGTAAGCTAATAGGGCATAGGGCATAAGGTTAATAGCGGATTCATTCTTTTGATTTATCTTTAAAATACGGAGATGTTCTAATATGGTGGCGTGAAATCGTTCAACGATACCATTTTCGTTGGGTGCATGTGGGGCTACTCTATGGTGCTGAATTTTATGAAGTCTAACGAATTCTGCAATAAGTTGGTTGGTAAACTCAGGGCCGTTATCGGAAACTATGGTAATTGGAATTCCATGATGTGTGCAGAAAATAAGTAAAGCTTGTACTACACTGACAGCAGTGCCGTCTCGCAAATAATACGCCTGAGCATATTTAGAAAAACTATCTACTATTGTCAAATACTTTTCCCCTTGAATTGTTAATAGATCTACGTGAACTAGTTCAAAAGGCTTAGAAGCGGGTGGTACAATTTTAAATTTCTGTTTAACTGGACTGCGGTCGTATTTAGCTTGTCCGCATACTGTACAGTCATTAATAAATTTAGTAATATGCTCTCTCATTTTCGGCCAGTAATATTTGCGGGACAAAGCCGAGAAACACTCGTTAATGCCTCGATGGTTTGTCTTTCCATCGTGATATTTATGAATGATTTCTTGCTGTCTTAAATACTCCCTAACATTTTCCAATTCAGTTTTTGTTAGAAAAAGGTTAAGAGATGAACTTTTAAAAGACTTTTGTATGATTGGTATGACAGTGTACATTGCAGAGTTTGGATTAATGAGTAATCCTGTCCTAATTTTCGGATGGACGTATTCTTTTATAGCATTAATGACATCCTCTTCTATGTTTGATTGAGCTATTTGTATCGTAATGCGTGTGTGTGTTTCGAATGGTTTAGTGATGACTGGTCTAGCTTTTATGTCGCCTACTATATTTAAGATTATCTGTTTAGTAAACTTATTTAGCGGTTCGTCAGAAATGGGAACTTCCAGGATGGGGTTTTCTTTATCTGTATGAACGGTGATGGTTCTGGAATCGTCCGCGGCTTCGGTAGCCGTTATAGTCCTAGAGTCATCTAAAGTGTGTACCCCTTCGGAAGGGTTAGGTAAAATGGAAAGCAATTCATCTATTATGGGTCTTAGCTCGTCATTGTGAAGTTCGATGCGCGATAGTGCATCGGCATTCGTGTTGCACTTGCCTTGCTTATATACGACACTAAAGTCATATTCACTTAACTTAAGGCGCCATCTGGTTAGACGCGAATTGGGTTCTTTTAAGCTCATAATCCATTGTAAGGGTTTATGGTCTGTAATAATTTTGAACTTACGGCCGAATAAATAGGGACGGAAATACTTAGTCGCCCATACGATAGCTAAAAGTTCCTTTTCTATCGTGCTATAGTTACTTTCGCTGGAGTTAAGTGTACGAGAAGCATATGCAATGGGTTTATCTGAACCGACTGTTCCCTGTGATAAAACTGCACCAATCGCCACGTTTGAGGCATCGGTTGTCAAAATAAAATCTCTACTGAAGTCTGGATACTGTAAGATTGGGTCATTTGTTAAGAGAGTTTTACAGTGTTCAAAGCAGTTAATATAATTTTGATCTAATGTTATCTTTGATCCCTTTTTAAGACATTGAGTGAGTGGTTTTGTGAGACGTGCGAAGTCTGGTATAAATTTTCTATAATATCCTAGAAGTCCTAGAAAACGCTTAATTTCGGTTGTAGTTTTTGGCAGTGGGTACTTTTCGATGGCTTTAATTTTGTCTGGGTTGGGTTTAACCCCGTTTTTACAAATAACATGACCTAGAAACTCGGTTTCCAGCTTCAAAAACTCTGATTTATCCATCTGAATTTTGAAGTTGGATTCCCGTAGCCTTTTGAATACTTTTTCCAGATTTGTCATATGTTCTTGTAAGGATGTACTGAAGACAATTATGTCATCTAGATACACTAAGCAAATTTCGTTCTGTAAGTTCTTTAATACGTTGTCCATCACCCTTTGGAAGGTCGATGGACTATTTTTCAGGCCCATTGGCATCCTAAGAAATTCGTAATGCCCATTCTCTACATTAAAAGCAGTTTTGTGAATGTCCGCGGGATCCATTTCTACCTGATAAAATCCACTGGCTAAATCGAGCGTGGTAAAGTACTGACATTTGCCCAGTTTGTCTAGAACATCGGTTATATTAGGAATAGGATATTTGTCATCGACTGTCTTTTCATTCACCTTCCTGAAGTCCACAACTAGACGCCATTTTATTTTGCCGGAAGCGTCCGCCTTTTTGGGTACAATCCAAATAGGAGAGCTCCAAGCAGAGTCCGATGGTCTAATTATATTTTGCTCGAGCATCTTATTGATCTGGTCTCGGACTTCCTGTCGGTGGACATACGGGTATCTGTAGCTCTTAGTATGTACGGGGATTTCATCATGTGTTTTAATTCTATGTTTGATCTTGTTGGTGAATGTTAAAGGTTCACCATCAAGGTAAAACACGTCGGCATACGAGGCACATAACCGTTGTAGGTTTGCTAGCTCTTCAGGATTAAGATGATCGGTGCGAAGACGGGATAGAACATTTTTAGCGCGATCCGATAACGTTTCAGTAAACTGGCACTCGACATTATATATTTCGGCTTCTACCGGACGGTCCATTGAAAAAATTACATCATTTGAGCTATTATTGGTAATTTCGACCCAACCACGATTATTAATTACTTTCGTTATACAATCAGAGATTATGCAGTTGCAAATTATTTGATTTTCAACTACTACGTCACCGTCCTTTGAGTTTATAGGCAACCTAACTAATTTTGATGACTGCGCGGGTATAATTTCTTCATATAAATTTGCGTTACGTGAGTCATACATTTCGATGGGAATTTTTGCGTTACGAGTAATAAGTAATTTATTTCTAAGATCGATATTAGAACCCCATATGTCTAGTAAATCAAACCCTATCAGTCCGTCGAAGTAATTATGAAATCTATAAACGAACAAGGTTATATTATCTCGTTCATTAAATTCTAAAGGGCAAGGGAGAGTTATAGAATAATCATTTTTACTTGTCGCGTGAACATTGGTGACTTCGAATGGGTCATAATTCAGTGGAATATGGCTAAAATATTTTCTTACAGCTTCGGGACTAATAAACGATTGGTTTGCGCCGGTGTCTATTAAGAATTTCAGTGGGGGATTACTTGTCTGAATGTAACCGAGTTGCCTTTGTATGTGGAAATTTATTTCTATTTTTGTTTTTCTGGTTTGGGGCACTTCCGAAAATCCTCATCATTAGTCGGGGTGAAATTAGTCTCTACTTCCTCTACGATAGGAGCTTCCGCGTGGTTATACGGTGGCTCGTATCCATAGTTAGGATATTGTTCGTAAGTACAGTACTCTTGATTATAGTTATAGTCAGGATAGTCGTATTCATAGTACGCGTCGGTGCTATAGTCGTAGTCAAAATCCGTCTCGTTAAAGTTTACCTCCCGTGTTTTAAAGTAATTGCTCGGCGGTGGGTTGCCAAATCGTCTCCAGTCATGTCCAGTCGGTGGTAGGGGTTTCGGAACAAAGGGAGTGACACCGCTCATAGGAGAAGGGCGCGAATTATTATTTAAATTGAAGCCCTGTGGTTGCTGAGGTCTGTTAGGAAGCTTAAACACATTACTCTGGGGGTTATAATTTGGTGGAGGAGCACGCATCATCTGTTGCGTACGAGTGGGTCCGCGTGGTACATGCATCTGGGGTGGTAGATTGGGCCTCCAACCCTGTGCAGCATGCGGTTGCATAGGTGGCTGTCTAAACGAGTTCAGTATATTATTACCCTGTGGTCTAGGTAGTGACGGCATGTTAAATGTGGTAGGTTTTGGAACGAAATGATTTAATGGTAGATTAGAGCTAGGGGTAGATTGAGTCCATTCTTTCCTGTTCTGGCTGCCTTCATTTCGTTGTTGGAGGTAAAGGGTGTTTAATTCCTCCTGTACGAATTCAAGTGCTTTCTCCATACTTTCGGGACGCATACATCTTATTCTAGACCCTAGGGGGTCTTTTAATCCGCGTAAATAAGCTTGCAAGGTCAGTTTTTTATAGAGTGCGCGCTTAGCTTCAATTGTCGTACTAATGGTTTCATGTAAAGTGACATAGGTCATTATTGTACTAAATAAACTTTGGACTCGCTCGTAAAATTCTTGCGGGGTACTAGACCCTTGGGTTTGTAGTGATAAATCACTGTATAATGCGGTTTCGTCGCGATGGTCGGCGAAGTTATTTATAAGAGCGCTTTTGATGCCGGCCCAGGTTTCGGGTATTCCATTCGAATTTATTAGCCTAGCCGCGGATCCCGTTATTTTATTTAAAATCCCGTTAATAAGAGAAAGATTGGCTAGTTCGTATCCGGGCTCATTTCTTACGTGGGCTAACACAAGTTGATCGCACAGGTTAATAAAGCGCGTAAGGATGTACGGGTTACCGTCAAATTCGGGCAAAACTCTAAGTGACTTATAAATTAGGTCTATTTCATTTGATTGGGCCATACTATCGGTTTCTAAACCTCTGTTCTCGTCTATAATACTAAGCTTAGAAGTCCTACTACTATCTAACCTAACGTTCCGTGTTCCCCTTGGATGGAAAATTTTGGAAGCTTTATACTAACACAGTTAAAATGCAATAAAATACAATAGAAAAAAAAAGGTGTATATAAAATTAGGATAGAGTAAAAATTTAATTACGGAACTAGGAAGGGTAAGGATTGAAAGATTCAAGCACTTACAGCATTACTTCTTCTTGCGGAATCAATGCCTGGATTCGCCTCTGGACTGGTGCTCCCGTAGGTTCTGTATCTTCTTGGTCACTCTTGATTCACTGACTCTACTTTAGAAGATCCTACCGACTGCGCCAATTATGTGGGCTCCAGCCAGAGGTTGCAAAAAAAAGCAATCTTTATTTAATATATATTTAATTTAAAGTAATTATTACAATTAATTCTTATAACTAAGTGAGGTGACTCTAATTCGATGTTTGAATGTAGAATGAATTCACACGGTAAAATATTAGATCCAGGTAATATAAGACAGTAGACACGTTATGCTGACACGGCGCCTCGTGATCGTCGTAAGCCGATGCAACGCAGCAGATTGCCTGGATTAGGGCTGCGTAACAAAAAGTCCTAACACTGTTTGTGATACAAATGGAGTATCTGATTGGCAACACTTGTTTTTGCTAATAAAGAGACACGAAACGTCAATTTTACACAATAGTTATATTAACACTTGAGTAAATTAAAAAAAAAAGTTGGAAACATCTACGACTGTTAATGCTCATCACATGCGGATTTTAGAAATGGAAGAAAAATTTTGGCGTGACGTGTTGGAAAGAACTATTGCTATTGTTAAGTATTTATCTACTCAATGCCTGGCGTTTCAAGGTTCTTCGAAATTACTTTTCGAACATGATAATGGAAATTTTCTAAAAGATTCCCTCTATTAATTCAGTAATAAGACAGCACGTTAGCCGAGTGTGTAACTCCCAAACAAAATGTGTTAAAATGACTCATTATTTAGGCGTGTAAATACAGAATGAAATAATTCAATTTTTGTCGTCTAAAGTAAGAAATAATATTTTAGAAATGGTTCGCAGTTCAAGATATTTTTCAATAATATTAGATTGTACACCAGACACTAGTCATACTGAGCAAATTATTCTTGTTCTGAGGTATGTTGTCCTTCAACTTCAAAAAAGGTTGAAGTTAAGGAAAGTTTTATTGCGTTTAATCCAATACTGGACGCTACAGGGAAAGGGATTTATACATTTGTAACAGAAATTTTGAAAAAATTAAATTAAGATATAAAAATATTAGGGGTCAAGGTTTTAATAATGGGGCAAACATGAAGGGACAGCATGTTGCGCTACAAAAACGCATTCTTGACGCGAATCCGCGAACCTTTTTGGACCTTGTGCACCTCATACTTTGAACTTATCAGTAAATGACGCTTCTAAAGTGTCAGATGCTACAATAAACTTTTTTAATCTTGTGCAAGAGTTATATAATTTTTTTTTGTCATCCACTAAAAGGTGGGTTATTCTGAGAAAAAAATATCCCTGGGTTAAGTTTAAGCCCTCCAAGTGAGACAGGATGGACCAGCAGAATTGATTCGATATACCGACAGTCAACTTGGCATCGCTGAAGGGACTGCAGCACCGCCCAAATTTCAACAGAATCAAATGCATTCTCATAGTACACATACGCCAGACATAGTGGCAAATTGTGACTCTCGAAAATTGCACGTAGAATGTGTACAGCTGCCCATAGAACCTCTCAACTTCACTCAAAATCTCAGGTGTCCCGGAAACGACGCTGCCACACTCGGTTTTCAGCTTCGGAAGTTGTCTCCTTCTGGCAGACAGATCTCTAGCAAAGACTTTGGAGCCCTGGTTCCGCTCGATCGCTTCTCTAATACGAGCAGTATTAAAGTTGCGTAAGTCCCACCGCATGCATTTCGAGATCTGTCTGTTCAGTTGCCTGTATGCTGTCAAATTTACTGAAGACTGCAGCTGCATATCCCGTCTAACAGCCATGAGATTAAGAATTTGATCGGAGAGTTTTTGTGTTCTTCTGCGGCGGGTCTTGCAAAACTTAGCTCCGACCGCATGGACAGTGTCCACGAGCTTGTTATTCATATCGTCCACTGCATTGCAATCTTCTAGGTACTGAAAACGGTTTTGTAACTCGAGCTGAAAGGTTTCGGGACTTTGGAACAGAGCACGAGATGGACGGAGCGTTGACTTCATTAGACGTGGCCTCTCCAAATTAACGTTTAGGTTCAGTGTGCCTCTCACCATTCGTTGATCGCTGCCGGTTTTCACCCTCGCGATCACTGAGATATCACTGAACAGTTGTCGTCTGGTCGTCATAATGAAGTTAATCTCATTTTTTGTCGAACTCTCGGGTCTTGACCAGGTCCACTTCCTTTGGGGCCGCTTCTGTAAGAAAGAGTTCATCATAAAGAGTCCCTATTTCTCCATGAAATCGGCCAGCTGCTGACTCCTTGGGTTCCGTTGCCCTATTTCAAATTTCCCTACTTTCAGATCACTGTTCTCTCTTGTGCCTAGTTTTGCGTTAAACTCTCCCATTAACACCGTATAGTGGGTTTTGGAGGAATGCATGGCTCTAGAGATATCCTCATACATTTCATCCACCTCCTCAACCTGTATGATCTTCAGCGAATACCGTTTGGTGATTCTGAGTATAAGGTACGCAACCCTCGTCGACACACTCCCAATCTTTACAACGTTGTTAACGAGAGACTTGTGGACGATAAATCCGACACCTCCTTGGGACAGATGGTCGCCCTTCC